ATTCCAGTCGGTGTCTGCACTAACTTTTTAGACAAATTTACCAAAGTGGAAGTCATATTTTATCTTCTATAATGCGCCAGTTCGAATTTATTGTTAATTGGCTGGCCAAATTAAAATAAGAATAAAAGTAAAAGGTTGTTAATGAAAATAAAATGAATGAAAAGAATTTTGGTTTTGTTTTGTTGTAGAAAAACAGTGGTGTTGCGCATTTTCTTCCATATAAAAGTCAGATTTGTTCATGCACTGTGTGGAAGAAAATTTGCAACACCCTCCATAAAAAAAATCTAAAAAATCAACTATAATTTTTAGCTATATTTCTCTTACAGAGTTGCATGCAATAATGCTTGCTAATGACCTACTCACAATAGCCACGTTAAACCACGACCATGTTGGGTAGAACTTTACAGGTTGAAAAGAATAATTAAATTGTCGAAAATACGGGAAAAATCTTGTCCCGGCGGAACATTTCAAATTTAATGCAAAATACGGGAAATTTGGCAACGCTAATCCGGCAAAAGAAGAAGCTATCAAATGAAGGTCCATACAAAAAATTAAGGAGTAAGGAATGTAGAGCGGAAGGCCTCTTGACTCTCCGGAAGGCCTTTCGGAAGGGCTTTTAACTTCTGAAATTATGTACTGGGTTATAAAATGATGTATATTTTATAAAGTCAAGCACGACGAACATTTTGGCGAGCACTTTCCCAACTCGCCTTCCGCTTTTTGATTTTTTTCTGTGGTCCCTCATTTATGATCCCGCAAAAATGGCGCTGGTTCCCGCGTTTGCGGGATTGGATTCCATAGTTGTAAAGTCTCAAATAACACGAAATTATATCGGTATGCTGGCCACAGGCCAATTAGTGAATGTTTGTCTAGATAAAATCTAAATGAAATTTAAACTAACTAAATATGTAATTCCATGAATTAAAAAATATACTTTCTAAAGCCAACGTTAATGTCATAGAAAATTGTTGCGCTCCCTAGAATTCTTGTTTTAAATGTTGGTGTTTCTTATTTAGGAAATTCATCACAATTATCAAAGGTACATATGTATATGTATAAAATTGTTCAAAAACACGTGCATAAATTAAGAAAGTAGACCCATAAAAATGTGTCATTCGAATCTGGCCACATTTCTTTCGAGTTCAATCGGATTCCGTGACAAGTTTTCCGTATTCGCAGCCAGCGTTCGCATTCGTACATTTTAATTGATGAGCTCGAGGCGAATTAATACAAGGTGGTATCGGGTGAGCAAAAACAAAAATTACAACAACAAATTATACGCACAATGACGGCAAAAAGTACCCCAAAATACAACAAACACATCATTTTGACATTCAGAAGGACCTCACCAATTCTATTTACACAACCTTGTATAAATTCGCCTTGGATGAACTCAATAATCGACGTGATGAAATGAAAAAGCAATAGGATAGCAAGTAAAAAAGTTTAAGTTCGGGTGGAGCCGAACATTAGATACCCGTCGCAATTACTAAATATAGTTTTTTTTCACCTTTCCGAAACTACCGTTACATGGTAAAAAGGCGTGGTTTTATCTCTGTGTCAAACATCTTCGATAAACTTGCATAGTTATATGTGGGCGATATCACGTCCATTTTTCAAAATTCCATAATAATATTACTTCTTTTTAAGGGAATGTAGTTAGTATCAATTTTGTGTAAATTAGCGTCCTTAAATTTCGAAATATTGAAGTTTCAAGCATTTCTGAAATTTACCGTTATGTGAAAAGCGGCCGTAATTTTAGTTTGTGGCTACGCCCATTTTCCAATAAATTATAGGCGGACAGACAGTCACCGCTTCATGGACTTATTTTTTCATTCTGATTATTTAGGTATAGATTTGTCTATATCTATCTCGCTCCGTTTTGCCTGCTACAAACAACCGTTATGTGAAGAAAGTGCGCTCGGGTATAAAAATTTGTCTTTGCAAAAATACGTTTAGAGTAAACAAATTACTTGACTGCCCGCAAAAAATTGGCGGCCGGTGTGCTTTATCGACTTTTTATCGATTTCCTGTTTTTGGTATGTAAGAAACAAATTTGCCAGGCAGTCAAAGCACCGGTTATCTTTAACAGGCAGTCCAGAAAACGGCCCTAAGTTTGTTAAAGTCGGAAGAAGGTACATAACCTATGGCATTACAAAACAAGTTTGTCACGCCAAATTAACCGTCGTTTATTTTAAATGGGACATATGGTCAATAAAATACATACATATATTTTATAAATTCAAATAAATCAAGTTATTGATGGAACTAGTACACAGTCGAAACAAAACGAAAATAACCATGTCATGGTCATAGCTGTAATGAATTAAATCTCACAGCGTAGAGTAGGGTTGCTTTTTTTACGCGAACAGACAATTTGCAGAAACTTGCAAGTTAGACGAACAGCTGACAGATTTTTTTTTATTCAAAAGTGTAAAATTGAAAAAGTAAGAAAACAAATCCCCAGGCCTTTTACTGACTAAACGAATAATTACTGAATTCTCACAAGTTTAATTAGTCGCATTTTATTATTTTTAACTTCCGAACCATCAAATTCTATTTTGTGATTTGCGGAAATTCCAACCAGCTGGTTTTGATTAGCTATTTTCTTATTGGCAAACATTTTCCAGTAGAAACCAGCAGCTTCCCCTCAAAATGAAATGTCGTTTTGCTCTCTCAATTTCCCCTTCTTTGCCAGTTTCTTGCGTAAGCGAACACAAAAACCTGATAGTTTTTGATAACTTTCAACAATTAGGTGTATTCACGTATTCTTACAGCAGAAAACTCTCAACAGGAAAATTCAAATGAAATTTTTTTCTATTCTCTCTCAAGTAGAGAAATGTTCGCATAAGTCCGCGAACGAAAAACTAGCACAAACTTGCAAGTTTTTAGCACAGCTGATCGAAATTTCATTTACATACCAAAGCATAAAACGGAAAACATGAAAGGAATATAAATTTAAAGTTTTCCTAAAGCAATTTGCTAAGCAAAAGTAAGTAAATGAGTATGCGCTTTCTACTGAAACATTTGCAGACCTAATAAGTTATTTTAAATTTAAAAATCATCAAAATACATTTAACTTTTTTCATAGGTTGCAGTGAGATGACTTTGATCAGCTGTTTTTCTTGCTGGCAAATTGCTGCCAGCAAAATTTTTTCCAGCAGAAACCAGCAGCTTCTCAACGAAACGAAATGCCAGTTTGGTCTTTAAATTTCCCCTATAGTTATCAATACGCGAATGCAACTAATCGCTGAAGCTGAATTGCTCAAAATTGGCATACGGAGTAATCTTTTAGCACAAAACCAAATAAAAAAAAACTAGTAAAAATGGGAGCGGCTCTGCCTATTTATAGCCCTGTTCGCGTACCCACTATCCAGTAAATCCAGTACTAATTTTACTGGTTTTTTACTGGATGTCGTTTTCGTACGCAAAAAACTTGCAAGAAACTAGCAAAAGAGGGGAAATTGAGAGAGCAAAAATGACAGCTGAACTTGCAAGTTTTACTGGATTTTTACTGGATAAATTTTTACTAGCAACTATTTGCTAGTAAGAAAAACAGCTGATGGCATGATGCCATCATAATGTAATTCACATTAACAAAATAACGGTTTGTGGTGCTCTTAGAGTTGCAACTGCCAAAATAAACCTATTTAAATATATAATAAAATGGAAAATACTAGTTTTCTAAGAAAATTGCACCGGAAAATAACAAATTAATCAGCTGTTCATAAAACTAGCAACTTCTTGCTGGTTTTGCGTTTTCGTACTTTCTTGCGTATTTCACTCATTGGGAGTAAATATTGGCTTACTCTCCGAAATTTGGTTACTGGCAAGTTACGGGATATTTTTTGCTGGAGAATACGAAAACACAACTTTTCATAAAGCGTATATCTTAATAAGATTATGGAGAGAGGTGTGCACATGTTAAGCGTATATCAGTAACTGATTTAGCAATCTCTACGACATTTCATACACATATGTATGTATTTCCGAGGTCTCACAAATCAAAAAAAAAAAGACAATTTTATTTTTTTAAAGTGAGCAGAAGATTCATTTGCCTTCAACATTTATGGCTAACTAAGATATGCACAACCACGATGAAAGGCTAATTTTTAATTAATTTGCGTGCATTCGATTCTTTCATCTTCTTAGGTTTGCACTAATGCGCAAGAGCTACGAATTCGCCAAAAAGGACATTTAAATGAATAGATTGGAGGCGAAATACAACAAGTCCTTCAAATCTGTTGCTATTAAACTGATAATTTATTTGGAGTATAGATAACTGGTTACTCAAACAAAGCGTGTACACAAATTTTCTTAAAATTGTTAATGATTTAACAACAAAATATGTAAGAAATTATCTTGCGCGCGCAGCGAAAGTTGATCGTCCCCCCGTCGCGTTTAGACGTATGAAAGAAAACAACATGGCAACAGAGCACATGAAAAGTTACTAATATTTTTTTCATCAACTAAAATTCTCTACTTTATAAAGTTTATACAACTAGTTTATTTTATTTTATTTTAGTAGGTATGGGCTATACTGTATGAGGCTTTCAATAGTTATGAATAGGGCTAGGAATCTCATGCTCTCAAAAATGGAAATTATGCGCTATCCAATTAAAAATATTTTCCTAATAAATATCTTATTGCCGGTATAAATATATATATGTAAATACAACATGTATTTTAACCAGAATGACGATTGGGTTCATATCAAATTACAATACATATTTACGTATGTAGTATGTAAGTATTTATAAAATTAGTTTATAATCAAGCCAGTTACAATCTTGTTTAAATAATAAAAACATTGACACTGGTTCAAATGAATATTTGGTAAAAAATTATAAGCGATTTTTTTTATAAACATGCATGAGATTCCTAGCCCTAGTTAGAAGTATACTGATTTATTATAAAAATGCAAGTTTACATTGTCGATATTTTCATTCTAAAGATAGGCAATAAATTCAATAATTCTTAATTAAACTTTTTTTTTTTAGGCGCTAAAGACGAGGATGGCAGTAGCATCAAGAGTGGATCCATCAATGAAGCTCATAGTTTGAGTAAAAAGCAACGTAAAGCACGCACCGCTTTCACGGATCACCAATTGCAAACCCTTGAAAAATCGTTTGAAAGGCAAAAATATTTAAGTGTGCAAGAGCGACAGGAACTCGCACACAAGCTTGATCTAAGTGACTGCCAAGTTAAAACTTGGTATCAAAATCGTCGGTAAGTTTAACAATGCAAATACATTCACTTTGTTATAATAAAATTAATTGGGCTACAAATCTGCATACTCAAAAAAATTCTAAAAAATCTGATTAAAAAGTTGAAAATTTTTTATGAAAATTTGCTGAATTTGCTGCACAAAGTTTAGGAATTATATTTTTTTTAATGTTTTTTGTTGTAGAATGAACCATATTTTTAGCGGAAAAATATTAGAATGAAAATTGTTGCATATATTGTGAAAAATTTGGTGTGCCAATATTTTCTTCCGGCAGTGTACATGTGAAGTAACAACGAGCCCTAACCGCCAAAATAACGTAAGCGACATTTTTTTCAAAATTTTCTTTTTGATGCAGAAAAGCTTCTAGATGCCCTAGGAATATTTCTGCATCAAAAAGACAATTTTGAAAAAAATGTCGCTTACGTTATTTTGGCGGTTAGGGCTCGACAAGTTTTCTATTTCTACTCACAAAATGGTTTGTATAAATTTTTAAATTTCCGAAATTCTACTTTGTGAAGTTCACAGGCTTATATGTACAAAGAAAAATAAAAAGTTTTACAAACAAATTTATGCGCATAGAAAGTTTGTTACTTGATATCTATGAGCGCCTGGTATTGGGAAATAAAAAAGTCGTTTTGTACAAAAAAAAATTAATCTTATATAAAATTACTGCAATTTTTCTTTAAAAATATACAGTTGGCTTTAAAAAGTATGGACTGTATATATAAAGCTGTTACACACTTTATGTCATAGGTAGCAAATTTTAGCAGTAGTACAAAGGCAGAAGCAAAAGGACTACATATTTTCTACTGGCAAGATTTTCTTCTAGTGTCAGTATGTATTTTCTCAGTGTAGTACTGAATGATAATAAGCGTTTTCATTCAACGAAAATTTACATTCAAATTCTATACTGAATGGAACTCGACCATTCAATATTACATTAATAATAATAATGTTAGTATTTGGCCGAGCTTCTCCTCCGATTTGTGGCGTGCGCCTTGATGTTGTCACACAAAGCGGAGAGCATTACAATTTTACGCCGACTCCGAACGGTGATTGTATTTTTATGAGAAGCTGTTTTTCATGGCAGAAATACACTCGGAGGTTTGCCATTGCCTGCCGAGGGGCGACCGCTGTTAAGGAAAAACCTTTTTTTTCTAAATTTGTTTGCGATGTTGCTTTGACCAGGGCTTGAACCCAGTCTTTGCGGAGTTGAAGCTCGCACTGCTTACCACAACACCACAGCGGCCGCAATACAGTTTTTTTTTACCTCCCTTTTATTAGCTCGGGATGTAACTACGTAATATTGATGCGCCTAAAAGATGCAGCGATTTCTATTCTCAAGTAACATACTTGGCAGTACGAATGCAAATTATAATAGCGAGGTTTTAGTTTTTTAAACTATTTTTATTTTGAAATAATTTAAGCCACTCAGGAATGAGTTTTTTTTTATACGAACAAACAATCAAAATTTTGAAAAGAATGTCGAGTGAATGCAGAGTCTATTGATTAAATCATTGGACAGCTCTGATATGTACATATTGCCACCAGAAAAATTTCGTTTGGAGCTAAAACGGCCGAAAAAAGAGCCAAATAATACTAATACCAGCTAAAATGAAGAGCTAGATTTTTTTTTAAGTTGAGCTTTTATTGACGTAAGGTTTTTACATTTTCCGCAAATTTAATAAAAACAATTTTTTAAATTTAAGTGCTGAAAACAACTTTTAAACCCAAATTGCGTTCCCCAGCTAATAGATCTATGGGGATGGTTACGCTTATAACAAGGACTGCTGCTCCAGACACCGTTCGGTATGAGGAGGCTACTCTGAGTGCGCAGGTGCGCTGCTAAACGGCTCTAAAACCATGCTGTCTGTCAGACAGGCCACCGCTATTTTCTATCGCCTCAGTAAGTCGAAATTTGATCATATTTTCGAAAAGTTTTCCTGCGCTATCAAGCATACAAAGTGGCCTGTATGCAGAAGCAATGGACGGGTCCCCCTTGCCTTTACTAATCAGCATTAACTTCTGCTTCATCCAGACTTCGGGAGACTCCTTCTTTCAGACAGGCGTTGTACATGCTAAGCAATGTATTGGGTCGTTCAGTCGCCAAAGCTTTTACCACCTCCGCAGATATTCCGTCAGGTCCCGGCGCTTTATTGTTTTTTAGCACCTTTGCTACCAGTGCTAAATATTCTGCGGTGAAAGGTGGGGCAGATTCGGCTGTTGGATGTTCAGACACTTTTAACAGATGCTCATGCGTAGGAAACAGGGTGTGTACTATCTTGCGCATCGCATGTCATTTCAGTCGCAGTTAACTTTGCTCCCAGCTTTTTCATCACAATTCTATAACCCAGACCCCAGGGGTTGTTATTTAACTCGTCTCTGAGTTCTTCCCATTTTTTCTTTTTACTACTGCTTATTGCCTGTTTTAGGGCTTTCTGCTCTGTTTTTAGTCTTTAGATTCCGTGGGCGTCGATTCTAATCGCCTAGCTCGAGTGAGTATTCTTCGCTTCCGTAGACAGACCTTCCTGAGTTCAGCAATTTTTGCCGTCCACCAGTATACCGCCTTTCTGTTATGCATCGCATGGTTGTCCTTACTAATTTCCTAGCGTCGCTGTTGGCGCAGATTCGGCTCGCGGTCTCGTCAATGGTTGCGATGAGCAACGAAGGCTTCAGCTTTTATACATTCCACCTGCGTGTACCAATTTTCTTTTCCTCTGAGCCTTGATGGTGTCCCAATTCAATGTTGAAGATGATGTATTGATGATGGCTTCTGGTGAAATCTTCTAGAACTTTCCACTCCTCAATAGAACCGGCTATCCTTCCCGCGCTAAAGTTATGTCAGGTATGGTCCCAGTACATCCTGGTCTCAGGAAAATTGCAGAGTTGCCTGTGTTCGCCACGACTAGTCCTAATCTAGCAGCCATGTCCAGTATCCGCCTACCTCTTGAGTTCGTTGTAAACGAGGCCCATTCTCTGGCTTTTGCGTTAAAGTCTCCTGCCATTATTATACGGTCTCCTATTTCTAGCGCTTTGTCTTCGATAAGTTCTAGTTTCCGAGTGAAATCTCCGATGTTGTTAAGTAGCAGCTCATTATGGTGAATAGGTTATTTTGTAAGTATACAAAACCGTCTCCAGATCCTTTTTTAGCAAAAGTGTAATTACTGCCTTGAGGAAGGCACTGATTATCACTGCATGTACTTCCTTTTCAACGATAAGTTGCTCTATAAGTACATCTGCTGTCTTGCTCCTATGCATGTTAGCTAGGAGTATCTTCATGTTTGGTTATTCCGTTTAGACATCGGGCACTTGCCAGAACCCAGCATGTGTTTTACATCGTTACTTTCAGCATCTATACATAAGCAGCATTTCGGTTCGTTTGTGCATTCCTTCATCTTTTGTCCTGTCTCTCCATATCGTGTTCAGATACCCATTACACTCCGTGCGAAGATTTCCTACGCCAAAACACCGGAAGCATCGCTTCAAATTAGTGGTCGCCGTCATGCTAGCACTGATCCATCCGATTTTGATGTTTTATCGCACTCTCGCTGGCAAGTGTTGCGAAAGCTCTGACTTGCTGTCGGGTGTTTCGTGCAGTGACTTTTACCACCATGTCCTCTCTGTCGGCGACCAGTTGTCTTACGGCGTCTTCGACCTCTTTCTTGTCAGTTAAGGCGTCTAGGTTCCGGATCTCTACAGTCGTGGTGGGCCTGAGAGTGGTGATGGAGGCAAACTCTTTTACTGACTCCTCCAGCTGCCATACGAAATCGGGCTGGATGGATTTTCCCTTTTCTAGCTCTAGTAAAAGGGCGCCAGCTCGTGTTCTTCTGATGCCTTTCACCATTGCGGTCTCATCTGGTGTCGTTCTGCTACGAAGGCTTTTCAGAATTTCCGCGTAGCTGTGTCCCTCCGCTGGTTTAACTAGCACGGCCTCTGGTTTTAGTTTGGGAATTCGCTTTTTCGTACAGTTTTTTGCGCTGTCTGTATTCCCTTGTGGTGCTTTGCGAGGTGTTCCATTTTCATTACTCCCTATGAGAGCACTTTTGGGGCGTGGTTTTTGACGACTAACCATCTGCCATTTTTCTGGCTCCTTAACTCGCGTTTTCTTGGAGGAGTCGGATGCAGCGGGACTCGATGCAGTCTGTTTCACCGGCGATGGTGTATTATCTTCGATGCGTGTGGGCACATTACGTTTTGCTGTAGGCGTAGCTATAGTATTTCCACTAATGGCTATTATCGTAGAAGTTTTTTTCTTGCTGGACTTCTCAGCTTGGCTCCATCCCTTTCTGCAGTATTTGATGACGTCGAAAAGCTCCTTAAGTTCAGAGACGCATGTTTTGATTTCCACGCTCGTGTTCCTTTGCCTAGTAAAGACTGCTTATATCTTCCGTCGTATTTTATTGCATTTTTCCATAGCTTCTTCCTTCTGGATTCGCATTTTCAAAACAAACTCTTGTCGCGAAGAGCCTCCATATACGTCATTTAATGTGGATTATCTGCTGTTACGGGTGTTTGCTCATATCGTTCATGGTTTGGCTTTCCGATTATTGCATTAGTCGCTTCGTTTCTCTATTCGACTCTATTGCAACTCCTACCGTTGGGGTCTCCCTTGCGCCCGCAGGCGTTCTAGCTTCACTTACTAGTGTAGTCTGGGCCGTAACATTGTCCCTCTTTCCTCTTAGGGGCATTTGCAACGACGTGGTCGAATTTGGTGTGTTCGTGTTCTGTGGCGGGGACCGAAGAATACGCGAGCTTCTCGCGAAAGGACTCTGCTCTACTGTACTATCTTTTGTTTTTTTTCCATATTTTTATCCATTCTTTTTTAGTTTACCAGTGCATCATGTGCAGGGGGGCGGGCGAAATAGACAAGAACGGGTGTATCCTCGGGGGCAACACCCCTACCCCAGTTCCCTGAGGCCTGACCAACGCTTTACCAGTCCCAGAAACCACGGACGGACCGGAGCTCGCCCGAAGCAACGAATACTACTAATTCTTCGCCCAATGCACACTTCCAGACCAAGGACCGAAGTGGCTGGTTCCTGATATACGTCGCAGTATTCACCACAGTATTTTCAACTTTTTATTGAAATTGCTTAGTTTGATGCATATTTTAATGTACGGGTATAAAGCTAAAGCTTTTCTATTAAAAAACCGGTCAAGAAAAAAGTTGCCATTATTTCATTTGTGTGAATAGTAGCATCCATTGAATTTTGGCATCTGATATTTCACAGCCTGCTGCCTCACTCTTTCATCACAAAATAATGGAACGAAAATATATTTCTGTTGAAAACATTGGGTAACCTTGTGCTCTTTGTTCACAAAAACCGTTAGAAAACCGTAGTAGAAAGCGTAGCAAATTTCTAGAACTCTTTACTGCTTAAGAAAATTCGGCTTAATACATTTTTCTTGGACATTTCTTGAGCGCACCATGCTTAAAACTTCAAAAAAGATTGCTACTGTTACGATTATCCCTGGATTCTTGGCTATCTCCCAATCTCCAGGGATGAAGATTCCGATATTTTCGTCGAACCAAAGAAATGTATACAAACAATAACATAACAATTATTTGATTTTCTATCTTCGATTGCATTCCTGCAGGGATACAAAAATTTGTAAACCAAAGGTTTGTCTCTACGGGAACGTATTGTCATTATTGAAGATAACAATTGAATATTTAAATATATGCAATTCACGGGGGGGTGAAATAACACAAACGGCAATAACGCAAATTTGTGTTATTTCCCATTTGAATGTGAAATAACACAAATTTGCTTTATTTCATTTCTCGTTGAGCAATAAGACCAACTTTTATACTTAACAATTTGAGTAATAAAGCAAACTAGTGCACATATGTACGTAGTCACCCAGTTACATTTGACAAAAAGTAGTACATGAACAAGTTAAATGGACGGATTTATAAGTATACAATTTTGAAAGTGCCCGGCGTCGCGGCGGTCCGCGTTGGCGCGCCGCCCCGCGCCACCCCGCGCCGCGTTCCACGACGCGCTCGCGTCCCCCGCCCCTCCCCTCCTTTCGCAATTATGTAGTGGTGGCATTATAACCGTTTAGAAAAAGGAAAAATTATAAAATAACACTAGTTCACTTCTGAAACTGCTTTTTAATGTCCAAGTAATGGGAATTATTGTGTATGGTGTTATTGCATGCTGCATCCCACCCATAGTGGAATTTACCAGGTGCCACTGCTTTATTTGAAAATTTGCCTATAAAATGTGACTATAAGGCAGCCGAATGACAGAAAATAAAGCGAGAAATCCGTTTTATTACTTCATCTGTTTATTGCGACATGGTTCCATGCAAACATTTTAAGGTTTTCCGGCAATGTTTTTAACAACATATTAAAAAGCATGCAGAATAAATTCATACAAAAGCGCTATGTCCAATATGCGGAGCAGTTTTTAAAGACGATGCTTTTCCTATATTTTGTTAGACTTTTCATAAGTAAAAATATTTTGTGAATATTACTTTCTTCATATGAATTATATCACATTTTTTGTTTAATTCAAGGCCTATCTAACAGGTTTAGAGCATTTGAGCAAAAACAACATTTGCCTGTATTTTGTTGTTGCTTCTGGTATCGAAGGTGCCAAAAACTGTTCTGATTTTTTTCTTCTACATCAAAGCGTGCCATGCGAAATACGAAAAAGGTAAAAAATTTAAATTGCAAAAATGAAAATTGTTGCAGCTTTCTTTCTTAGTAAATTGGTTCGCTTCTCGAAGCATTGATCCACCATCCTGTGCCAGGTCCAGTAATCAGCGGTTGTGCTGCTGAGTTGGTCGAGCTTTCCAACAGCTGCTATTTAATCGCTGGTTTTGTATGGAAAATGTTTCACATGCAAATAGATTTTAACAATTTAGAATTTTTTTGAGAAGAAATGTTAAATATTTGAAATTTTCGAGAACAAATAATTTGAAATAAATCAAATCAGCTGCTATACTGATATTTCCTGTGCAATGTGCCTTGGTTTAACTGTATTTTTGGAATAAACAAAGTTCTTTTTGCTTCTGTCAGTAAACTGTGTTTTTTTTTACAAATAGTATAAATAAGCAATGGGAAATAAGGCAAAATTTGTTTTATTTCCAACCTTTGTTGGAAATAAAGCAAAACTCAGATTTTGGTATTATTTCCCATTTAAAAGTGAAATAAAGCAAATTTTGCGTTATTGCCGTTTGTGTTATTTCACCCCCCCGCAATTCACATTTGAAAATAAATGAAGGATTCGTATCTTTGTGTGATATAAACCGCATTATTTTTAGTAGTAACAGTAAAAAGTGATAACTACATCGATGCACTAAAACGACTGAAAATATCTAACTTTAAATTCTATCCAGTCACATCAGTGTATGTACATACGTATGTATGAATGTATGATGGAAAGTCGTTTTCCGTCTCTTCATCGCTCTTAAACGACCAGCGCATATCTTTATTATTCGAAGATATCAAGCAACACTTGACTGTACATTGTAATTTGTCAATCCTTGAAATAAACTGAATAAAAAACATTAACGGAACATATTTGCAATCATCCCTAAATACGAATGTGTTAGTGCTTATCTAAGCGCTTAAAATTCCATTTACAAAATTAGTTTTAATTATTTCTTGATATTGGTGGACTTTCCGATAAAGTAGGACTATAATTTATTTCGGACAAATTTCCGTCATCCCTTGTCAAATTGGGTCATTTTCCGTTGTCAGTTTTAATAACACTGTAAACCAGCATTTTCGCAACATAATATTCTGATCCTTTTTTTATTTGCTCTCAAAAGTTAAGGGGTCATGCCGTGTCTTTCTACTGCGAAAGTTATATTTATTTGTAATATTCAGTCCTATGTATCCGGCATCAGAATCGGTCTAACGGGCCTGAGTTCATCCTGAGCCTCAAAAAATGGGGCGGATGTTATGTAACAGGCACGATTTTTAGGTTAGGAAAAATCCTGATGAGGCAAAAAGGGACTTTAGATTCGTGTTCAGAGTTGATTTGAGGTTGCTTCTTCTTTTGAAATGTTATTTTCTTATCAACTAGAAGTGATGTTTTACTTTGCTTCGCAGCTCGGAGACCTTTTATTTGCGCCATTATAAATGCGAAAGAACAATTCAAAAAAGTACTCTCAACTCCAAACTGGCATAGTAAAGGCCCACATAATCTTTAAAATGAAACAAAAATTATTTGTAATTTTATCTTATTTTTTTCATTAGGTATCCATTTATCAACATGTATATATATATAGTATATATATGTATATGTATATTGTTCATTTGTGTATTTCTTCATTTCAGCACAAAATGGAAACGACAGACTGCGGTTGGTTTGGAACTGCTAGCTGAAGCAGGAAACTTTGCAGCTTTTCAGCGACTCTATGGGGGAACCCCTTATTTGGGCGCATGGTCTTATCCAGGTGCACAGGCGCCACATGGTGCCCCTACGCCGTCGAGTATTGACTTGTACTATCGCCAAGCAGCAGCCGCAGCCGCAATGCAAAAACCTCTTCCCTACAATTTGTACGCCGGAGTTCCTAACGTAGGATCACTTTCTGGACTGCCCGTTTCTGCTACAGCACCGTTTTCGCATCTCTCCGCTTCCAGTTCGTTATCTTCATTAAGCAGCTACTACCAGAGCGCATCGGCGGCAGCAGTGGCTGCGGTAGCTGGTACATCTGCATCTAGTTGTATTCCTGTCGACAAGCCAATCGCTTCACCACCATTGTCGGTCACGGCAACAGTACCATCACCTGTATCTCAAAATAATGCGACGATAGATCGGAGGTGCTCGTCAAATTCTCCCACGCAAAAATCACCTCTAAGACATATTGACTTGGCTCGCTCTCCCAGTCCCACTCTAAATCCAGGAAGCCCACCTGGTCGATCAGGAAACAGCTCACAGGTGCAGTCTGATGACGAGGATCAAATTCAAGTATCAGTTTGAAATTAAGATACATACCAAATAACAAAGTAGTGGAAATCTCAACCCATTCATATATGTATAGTGCTTATCATAACTGCATGGTGCATTTTCCTTCCTATAAAAAAATTAGCAAACATACTTCGTATGGAAGAAAATTATTGACATCGACAACAAAAAAAAATTCCTAAAATCATCGTTGTAGCACCTTCTGGCTTGCATTTAATGGGTTGGGAATTGGTTGCCAAAAAACTTTCTAAAAATTCGGAGTAAAAAATGCTAAACTTTGAGTTTATCAGTTCGTCGGAATATTTTTTATGTTTTTTTTTTGTGTCTGTGACCGCATAATTTTGGACCATGTCAATCGATTTCGATAATTCTCATACTTCCATACTGGTTTAGATCCAATCATGGGATCATGAAATATGTTTATATATATATTTATATATGAGAATTGAAGTCGGTTTTGTTTTTTGCTTAAAAATTAACTACTTGTTTTTTACTTTTGTACGAAGTTTAAAACTCCGATTTATGTATGTATATATGTATGTGTTTTTTTATAGAATTAAAAAAATAGTTAAAATTAACTAATAAAAAACTAA